TGCGATCCATCAATCCACCTATCAATTCACCCATCCAGCCATCCACCCACCCACACATCCCTCCATCCATCCACTTTTCCACCTATCCAGCTGTCCATCCACCCAATCAATCATCCATCCACCCAGTCAGCCACCCAACCATCCAGTCACAAACACCTTGAACCAGGACAAGGCCAACCTAATCGATATTTCGCTTACGGCTTGACCCACACTAAGACGTGCTGAGGAATACTGAGAGATACTGAAGGAATACTGAGGGATACTGAGAGATACTGAGGGATACTGAGAGATACTGAGAGATACTGAGGGATACTGAGAGATACTGAGGGATACTGAGGGATACTGAGAGATACTGAGGGATACTGAGAGATACTGATACTGAGGATACTGAGGAGATACTGAATACTGAGAGACTGAGGAATACTGAGAGATACTGAGGGATACTGAGAGATACTGAGGATACTGAGGAATACTGAGGAATACTGAGGATACTGAGGGAATACTGATACTGAGGATATATACTGAGGAATACTGAGAGATACTGAGGATACTGAGGAATACTGAAGGAATACTGAGATAAAGAGAGATACTGAGATACTGAGGAATACTGAAGGAATACTGAGGGATACTGAGGGATACTGAGAGATACTGAAGGATACTGAGGAATACTGAAGGAATACTGAGAGATACTGAGGGATACTGAGGGATACTGAGGAATACTGAGAGATACTGAGGGATACTGAGGAATACTGAAGGAATACTGAGAGATACTGAGAGATACTGAGGGATACTGAGGAATACTGAAGGAATACTGAGAGATACTGAGGGATACTGAGGGATACTGAAGGATACTGAGGGATACTGAGAGATACTGAAGGAATACTGAGAGATACTGAGAGATACTGAGAGATACTGAGGGATACTGAAGGAATACTGAGAGATACTGAGAGATACTGAGGGATACTGAGGAATACTGAAGGAATACTGAGAGATACTGAGGGATACTGAGAGATACTGAAGGAATACTGAGATATACTGAGAAATTGAGAGATACTGAGGGATATTGAGGAATTAGATCTATTTATCTATCTATATATCTATCACCCAGCAGGAACACTGTAAGGGTGGGTGTGCCTCTGATCTATCTATCTATCTATCTATCTATCAGCCGCTGGTGTTCGGTGTGTAATTTGAATAGTGCCGGTCAGCGTGGCCCTGGGTGCCTCCCCAAGGTCTACTCTGGCACCATCTTCCAACGCCTACAACCTCCCGTGTCTAGGTGGGTGGGTGGGCTTGGTTAGTGGGTTGGTGAGTGGGTTGGTGGTGGGTAGGGAGGGAGAGGAAAGGATAGATAGATAGATATAGACAAAAGAGTGTAGGTATATGAACATGGTAACTATACAGGCACCAGAAGCTTATTAGATACCAATAGTGTTCAATCTCTCGCGTCTATAAACCATCTCAAGGAAGCCAGTGTATCCCTGAGGCCACATTAAATCATCTCTTAAACAATATCTAATGTCCAGATGTTAATATTTTCCTAACTCTTACTTTTTATACTTTTATATTGTCATGTTGATAGAATTTACCATTGTAATAATTATATATTTTTTCGTCAAGATATGATCCTGACTGTGTGTGTGTGTGTGTGTGTGTAATAATAATAATAATAATTAACGGTTTATTGAAAGAGCTTGGCAGCCAGAAGGCTGAAAATATACAGTTACATATTTGGGGAATGGGTTACGAGTTACAAATAATATACAAGTGACATAAGTGACATAAATAAGACATATAATAACTTAGATGGGGATCAGCTCAAACTACAGTTCATTTCAACATAGTGACAGTGTAGGGAGCAGTGTTTACTGGGAGTGAATACACTGATTTATTACATGTTATTGATAATTTTTACAATGGTTGGGACTGGGCTGTTCTTATAGCGATCAGTTCGTGCACGTATGGGCTGGATGCGGTTGTGGTGTCGAACAGCAATTCTCGGACAGGGGATCTCAGGTGGTAGTAGGGGCCGGTGTCGGGGATGGTGTAGAAGCTTCTTACCAAATTTGCAGATGAGGCCGTGGTGATGGTCAGTGAGAGTCGAAAGGGTCAGTGTGTTGAGCGCTTCTTGATATGTGGAGTAGGAAGGGGAGAGAATAATCTTGCATGCCCTCTTTTGCACTTTTTCTAGGTGTTTACGTTGTGTGGCATTTAGGGAGGAAGACCAGGTGGGGGAGGCATAGGTGAGCTTGGGAAGTATGAATGTTGTGTATACACTGAGGAGCTCGTGTGCGGGAACTCCGAGGGACTTGAGTCGGCGGAGGAGGTGGAGACGGAAACTGGAGGATTTGACAACTTCACTGACGTGTGGTTTCCAATTTAGTTTGTTGTCTATGGTGACGCCGAGGAGCTTCGTGGAATCTACAACCTGGAGTGTGTTCGGACCTAGGGTAATGGAAGGAGGTGGGACAATGTCGGAGGAGAGGTTGATGTGCATAACCATGGTCTTGGTATGGTTGATGGTGACATGGTTGTTGGTGGCCCAGTTTTGGAGACTGATCAATAAATCCTGAAGGGCGGTATAGTTGGGAGCAGAATTGTTGACGCTGATCCCAATGGTGGAGTCGTCGACATATTTCCAGCGAGCAGGGGTGCGTGTGTGTGTGTGTGTGTGCGTGTGTGTGTGTGTGTGTGCGTGTGTGTGTGTGTGTGTGTGTGTGCGTGTGTGTGTGTGTGTGTGTGTGTGTGTGTGTGTGTGTGTGTGTGTGTGTGCGTGTGTGTGTGTGTGTGTGCGTGTCTGTTTGTGTGTGTGTGTGTGTGTGTGTTTCACCCCATCATCGCTTCCACCCACTTATCAGATTACTGTATATCAACTATATTATAAAAATGTGTACAATATATACTTACAATATAAATGTTAAAAAAAAGTAAAATAAATATATATTTAACTTATAATCGTGGCAACATTCTCGCCCTCTGCCACCCTCTACCCGCCTCTGCTTACCCACTACCCCGCCCTCTGCCCACCACTACCCCACCCATTATCCCGCCCTCTGCCCCACCCTCTACCCGCCCTCTGCCCCACCCACTACTTGCCCTCTGCCCCCACCCTACCCCGCCCTCTGCCCCCACCACTACCCTTTTTCCTCAGTCACGCCTCTTTCTCCCTCTTCTACACCTAACGAGGCCTTCTGATCATTAACACCCTCCTTCTTCTCCTTCTCCTCTCCTTCTCCTCCTCCTTCTCCTCCTCCTTCTCCTTCTCCTCTCCTCCTCTCCTTCTCCTCTAACCCAACATAATCTAATTCAACGTACCACAGCTTCCACCCCTTCGTCCATTATCTGAGAGGTTGGTTCCTATACTGTAGATGACCAGTCAGCCTAACCAACACGGACACATTCACGGACTAACCAACACGGACACATTCACGGACTAACCAACACGGACACATTCACGGACTAACCAACACGGACACATTCACGGACTAACCAACACGGACACATTCACGGACTAACCAACACGGACACATTCACGGACTAACCAACACGGACACATTCACGGACTAACCAACACGGACACATTCACGGACTAACCAACACGGACACATTCACGGACTAACCAACACGGACACATTCACGGACTAACCAACACGGACACATTCACGGACTAACCAACACGGACACATTCTGAAACATCCACCTCCGTCTCCTCTCCTGCGCACGAGCCCCCCCCCTCCCCATGTGCCTTAATCAACTACAGTGAAACCTCCATATACCGGATTTCTTTCTTTATATAATCCGTTAAATAGAGGTTTTGTATCTAACGAGCTTTTCTCTGTATATCGTTCGTTACATGGAGGTTTTATATCTAACGAACCTCAATATAACGGACTTTTCTGTATATACATAGGTTTTATCTCTCTCGATATAACGGACTTTCTCTGTATATCGTTCGTTACATGGAGGTTTTATATCTAACGAACCTCAATATAACGGACTTTTCCCTGTATATCGTTCGTTACATGGAGGTTTTATCTCTAACGGACCCTCGATATAACGGACTTTTCCCTGTATATCGTTCGTTAGATGGAGGTTTTATATCTAACGGACCCTTTCTATATCGGAGTTTCTTCTCAGACACCAAAAAATTGTACACGAAAGTCATCCATTCTTACTACAAAAAGCTGCTGAAAATCACTGGCATCCAAAGCTTTTAAACCACTTTAGAAACAACACCACTTGGTCAGATACTCAAGTGATAGTGACCTTGTTGAGGGATAGTGAAGGGAAGAACGAGGGGTTAAAGGGGCATTACTAATCTATAAAAAGGTCAAGGACGAGGTGTAAATCACAAAGGAGAGATGTAAATGAAGACAGACATTTACACTGATGGTAAATGACGAGGGAGAGACAGTGGGTGAGCGAAGAAACAGAGGAACAATAAAAAATAAATAAAAATAAATTAATGATTCATACGAGAGCCAGAACAATGAGGCACAAACACACGCCACAAACAATGGACGTCTACCACACATACGGGCAGTCACCACCACCGAGGGGAAACCCGAGCCCAGGGTGAGGGTAGAGGGGAAATGGTGAGGTGTAGAGGGAGAGTGGTGAGGGTAGAGGGGAGAGGGAAGAATGAAGAGTGGTGAGGGGAGAGGGAAGAGTGGTGAGGGGAGAGGAGTAAAGGGTATAAGATAAGAAACGGGGGGTAAGGTGTGAGGATAGAGGGGAACGTAGTGAGAAGTGATGGTAAAAGCGACAGATTGTGGCAAATGAGGAGGGAAAGAAGACGGTTGTGAACGTTGAGGGTAGTGAGGGGACGGTGGTTAGGGTGTGAGGGTTTAGAGGGGACGGTGAGGGTTAAAGAGGGGATTGGGGGTAGGAGGCGGTGGGGGGGGGGTGAGAGTGGAGAGAAAGGGGGGAGGGGGGCGGTTAAGTTAGAGGTGGTAAAGGCATCAGCAGCAGGGTTGGGTGACAGAGGGGACCAAGTGCGGGTGAGGGGGAGGGGAGGGGAGACACAGTTCTACCCGCCAGCACCCCCTCATCCTCCCCTCGCCTCACAATTGGCAGTAACGAGGGGAATGAGGCCTGGCGACACATAAATGGCGCCACCGGGCTCAGGAGGGACCAGTATCCAGCGGCCGTGGGCGAGTGTGGACTCCTTGCTTGCCGGGGCACCACTTCCTCCTCCTCCTCCTTCTGCTTCCCCACCAGCAGGAGAGGGGGAAAGATAGAGGAGGAGAAGGAGGAAGAAAGAAGACGAACATGAAGGAGAACTTAGAAGGAAAGTAAACAAGATGGAGTTTGAAAAGAGTGTGGACGACTGGTGCCCGGGGCGCGCCTGTTGCTTCACCACAGGCACGAGACTGAAGAACAACAACATGAGAAAGAGCAAAGAAGCATATGAATAAGATTAAGGGAGAAGAAAAGAGGAAAGAAGACGAGGAGAGAATAAGGAGGAAAAGGGAGAAGAGGAAAACCCAAATAAACAACGTGTCAAGATAAAGGGAAACAGTGAAAAGGTAAAGGAACAGAGGTCTGTCCCACTGTTGTTGTGTGACCCTGTGGAGGACCCCCCTCCCCTCCCCTTCACCTATATACAGAAGCGTGTCACAAACTCCGCCTTCTGCATCGGCTAGGGAGGATGCACGCCCTTACTGTGAGGGCTTTGTACTCTCTTTCCCAAGGTCAAGGTATGTGTCCCTCCTGAAGAAAACTGTCAAGGTATGTGTCCCCCTGAAGAAAACTGTCAAGGTATGTGTCCCCCTGAAGGAAATTCCAAGAAATGTGTCCCTCTGAAGTAAAAAAAAAAAGATATGTGCTCCTGTGAAGACTAAAACAGACAAGAAGACTAAGAAAGGAAACAAAAAAGTTTTTCTGGTGAAATAAAGAGGAAAACATCTACTTTATGGCCAGAGAAAGAGGAAGAGAGAGAGAGAGAAAGAAAACGAATATAAGCCCCTATTCGTGCGACCACACCCAAAAAAAAATATATAAAAGAAAATGGAAGGAGAATGTATTTCTTTCTTGCAAATAGAACGAAAGAAAGAAAGAGAGAGAGAGACACACACAGCTGAATCACCAGCCTGAGGACCTCGACCCGCTGCTGTGCACTGGTTCTGGGGGACACACGGGGGTGTTACCAGACATAAAAGGAAGAGTCAAGTTTTCCTTCACAGCCCCGCCATGACCCACAACCTTACCTCAGCTCGTGTAGAGGAGGAGGGGCTCGTTCAAGAGGATGTCGACGGCAGTATTATCGACGTCGACTTAAACAATTCGACACACCAGGCGTCAACGTAAGGGGGGGAGGAGGAGGTGTCGACGACTTTATCACTGACGTCGACTTAAATTGTTCCATCAAGCAGGCGTTATGTAAAGGGGTGTCGACTGTAACATTGACGTCGACTCAACAACCCGACACACCTGGAGTCGATGCAAGGAGGAATGTCGACTGTACCATTGACGTCGATTCAACAACCCGGCGCAAGGGGAGGGGGAAGAAGAGGAGGAGGAGAAGGAAGAGGGGATGTCGACTCAGCCATAACAACTCGATACACCTGGACCCCGAGATCACATCGACTCTGTCTCGACCCCAACACTCGACCCATTTAAGAGAAAGATGGCTGAATGGCTGACTCTGGTGGGATAACAAGATCACACACCCTCGACACTCGTTCCTATTTACAAGTGTTGAACCAAAAGAAGACATCGACGAACCAGGGAGATAAATAGACGACATAACATAAGGAGAGCAAGAAGAGAAAGTCAGGAAGAGAGAAAACGTCAGATGTGAAGGGAAGTAAGACAGAGGTGAATAAAGTGCTAGACAACAAATGATGGCCACAGCAAGAAAAGGCGATATAAAAACAAGACGTTGAATAACCGGGAGGCGAAGAGAAAGCAGCAGTAAGACAAGAGAAAGAGGCGGAGGAGGAGGAATGAGAAGAGATAGCACGAAGGAGGAAAAGGAGGAGAAATGAAAGAATGTCGCAAGAAGAAGGAGGAAGAAGAAGGAAGACGAGGAGAAAAAAGAGGAAGAGGAAAAAAGGAAGAAAATGAGGAGAAAGGGAAGAGGAAGGAAGAGGACAACAGACGCGGTGGCAGAAATGACACCAATGAGGGCCAGGCACAAGGTAAGTTACACCTGGTTATTTTTATGCCTGCATGTTTGGCATTCCGAGGAGTGAGTGTGTGTGTGTGTGTGTGTGTGTGTGTGTGTTAACTCGCACTTAAACCAGACTGTATATACACAAGTCGGTCTTACTGTATAGTGTTGTGGGGGAGGGTGTAGGAGGGAAGGGAGGAGGGAGGGAGGGGGTGGGGAGGGAGGAGGGTGTAGGGAGGGAGGGGGGGTGTAGGGAAAGGGGGAGGGAGGGTGTAGGAGGGAAACGAGAGTTGGAGGGGAAGGAAAGGAGGTTGAGTTACTTCTTGAGACACATGCACTCATTGTTTCACACACACACACACAGACACACACACACACACACACACACACACAGACACACACACACTAAAAACCGTATTGCCACAGACTAATTAATATGGAAATTTACCCCTCACCACGACTTAACTTTATGTCCCGTGTGTGTGTGTGTGTGTGTGTGTGTGTGTGTGTGTGTGTGTGTGTGTGTGTGCATAGCTTAACCCTCACAGGTATTTCCCAGGAGTCTCACGCCCACACCAAATTATTCCCTGAACTCACCCACACTTTACCTGCCATTATTTCCTCACCTGTTGTCTTAAGAACACACTAGAGCTTCACCTGCTACAACATTAAATATTTCCCAGGACGCTGTTCTGTTTAAACACTCTAGTACAGCGGCTGGCAACAACAGTGTTAACTCGCTCTACAAATCACAAGATGACCATTTTCTCACACAGTCCAGCTCTGTGTTGACGTCTCTATGAATGCGACTGTGTATGTATGTGTGTGTGTATGTACACCTTTATATCCAATTGCAGAAGTATGTAACTATGTGTACACCTGTGCACCTACATGCGATTATATATGTGTATACCTGTGTATCCACGTGTAGCCATAGGTGTGTACAAACGTACGTCCAAATAAGAGATGTGTAAATGTCGACTTCTATATATCCGTATGTGCATGTGTGTGCATGTAAAAAATCCACATCCAATTGTGTAAGTTTATCCAAATAAACGTCCACATTCATCCGTACATGTGTCAACGTGAACATCAACAAGTGAGTTATATAAGTGCATGTGTACACGTGTACATCCACAAGCGGTGTGTGTAAGTGCCTGTATATACGCGTACATCAACAAGCGATGTGTGTAAGTGTGTACACGTGTGGGATTTGCCAATTACTGGTAGGCAGGTGTTGGCCATGGTGCAATATTGATTTATGTAACCGCCAGTTCTCCTGTGCGGCCCACACCAACTGCTAACTTACCTTCTCACACACACACACACACACACACACACACACACACACACACACACACACACTACCCAAAAGACTCTGAAAGGTTTGTACGTTCATTATACCACATTAAGAAGAGGCAGAAAGGGTCTACCTATTTAAAGTAGAATCTGAACGCAGTATCCACCCAGTAATGGTCGCCGTCTGTGTGTTGGTGCTTGAGTGAGGCTGACGTGACAGCGAGATGTGGCCTCAAGCTGGAGGGAACGTTTAACAGGCTCTGAGACTCTTACCCTGAGGCAGGAATACTTGTTGAGAGAGAGGTATTGATAGAAGTTAATGAAAAGGGAGGGAGAGAGAGACGGTATCGACAGAAGTTAAGCGAGAGAAAGAGATGGAGGGAGGGAGAGGGAGTAGGAAGCAGCCAATTAGAGAATTTAAGGCTCTGGTGGTCACACACACACACACACACACACACACACACACACACACACACACACACACACATAGGGCGAGCAAGACGGACAAGGTTTAAAAAGAAAAAAATTACAAACAGAAACGTTACATTTATTTCTCTCTCATTTAACACAAACTAAATAAACTTAACCTAACCCAAAACATTACCCTACGGTCGTTAAGTTAGATTAGTTGGTGTGAGGTTGAAGAGGGTCCAGCAGGCCGTGATGTTTGTTCAGACGCGACACAAAATTTACGGTGTTGGGGGTGGGGGTGAGGTTGGGGTGAGTGTGCGGTGGAGGTGGGGTGGGGGGTGGAGGGGTAAGTCCTAAGTTCAAGAGTGGATGATAGCTGCGTTAATACCTGAGTAGTCACCACACGCCCGGCAGCTCATATGACACGTATCGGTAAAATCCCGCCCCTCCCCCCTCCGGCGTGAGATGACGCTAAACAACATTATTTATCGGTCAGTGAGCCAGTCAGTCAGCCAGGAAAGAGGAACACATGGCTGACGAAGGAAGCCATAAATCTGACCTCACCTGCTGCTGATGGTGATTCAGGCCCTCACAACCACCTGATAAACACTCGCTTCATGGGGCTCAGAGATTATTGCTTCTTTACCAGACTCCCCCAGGAATGTAAACATGAGCTGTGGTGATGGGAATTCGCTGATACTCCTCCTTCCTCCCCTTTCCACTCTGCTTCTCCCCTTCCCACTCCTCTTCCTCCCCTGACCACCCTCTCCCCTTCCACCCTGCTTTCTTCCCTTTCCGTCCTCTCCCTCCCCTGTCCTCCCTGTTCCCCCCCTTCTCCCCCCCCCGCTCCCTTCATTTTTAAAATATCACAGCCCCGCTCCAGGCTGACCTGAAAAACACTCCGGATGACGAGAATGTCCAGACAACTTACTGCATCCGTGACAGTTGTAAGGTCTGGCTCACGTGGGGGAAAAAACAGCGAAGCCTCCAAATAACGGACTATGTGGGAGAGGATAGTCCGTCATATCGATCTTAAATGTGAAACCTCCAGCTAACGGTTTATATGGGAGAGGATAGTCCGTTAAATGTGAAACTTCCAACTGACGGAGAGGGCAGTTAGTTATATCAAGGTAGTAAGAGGGCCTTATTTTCTTAATATACCGTATACGTGTCATAACAGATACCCGCATATATATATAATTCACCAAATAATGTATCGACTGTCTCACTGACTGATCCCCCCCTACCATACCCCAACCCACCCTACCACACCTCACCATACCACACCACACATCCACCCAAAAGCACCGAATTTGACTCCCTGTGAACTTTTTAAGAGGTTTCAACAAGGAGAGTGATTATGTGAGGTGTCCACTGCCTGTACTCCTTACATGACCTATACAAGACAAACACTTAAATGCTGCTCAGGACATAAAGTATAAACCATCTGCCGTCTGTACTAAGGTTAGGTACTACATTCTCGAGTGTGAACCCTTTGAGGAGGAGGGGTTAAAACTCTTTGGGGATTATAACTTAAACCATCGTCTTTAAAATGTAACTTAGAACCATCGTCCTCAAAGGATTATGGTTTAAACTTTAAACCATCGTCGTCCACGACAGTTTAAACAATCATCGGCCTCCAAAGGTTACGAGAGAAGGTGGATATGTGGAGCAGTAAACAAACATTCAAACATCACAATAACTCTTCCATTTAAATAACAACTACAATAATGTCTCTGTTTGTTTACTGTATTCAATGACTCAAAAAATGTCTCCCCGTCTACGTGACATCCTGTACATTTGTTCATCCTCACATCTACTGAAACTGTCACGTGTTTTGTTTTTTTCGGTCAAAGGGCCAAGGTTAGCCAATAGGGGTGAATTGACACCTGACTCGAGCGCAGGTTAATTAAATTTGTACCCTTCCTATCGTGGTTAGTGTGGAGGTGACGGAGAGGCGGAGTGGGGTAGGGTGGAGTGGGGTGGAGTGGAGTGAGGGTGGAGTGGGGTGGAGTGGAGGGAGGGGGGGGCAGGCACCTCAATCAACGGCAACTAATCTATTTATCCTTATTTCACTCTCCACGAAGTAAAATAAATCAACACTTTCCCCCCACAACGCTGTTCATTCTCCTCACACAGTTAACTCGTTACTGAGGAAATTTGTTCTTAAAATAAACTTGACAATGAATATATAAAAAGGTTTAAAAGGTGACGGTGTAAGAAAAAGTAGTTTACTGTAATTTATTTTTGGTCCAAGATATTTCGGTACGTGATTTATTTACTTTTCATGGTGATTTTTCGCTTCTTGTTTTAGGTATATAAATGGACGAGTGATTCATCAAACGAGTCCTAATCCGAAATAGGGTCTAACCTAACCTAATCTACCCAAACACAACCTAACTTAACCTAACCTAGCCTAACCTCTTCAAGCCTAACCTAACCTAATCTACCCCAACACAACCTAACTTAACCTAACCTAACCTAACCTAACCTCATCAAACCTAACCTAACCTATTCATTATGATAAGCGTCCAATCCACATGTTTAGGTTCGCTTGAGACTATTAGAAGCAAGGCCTATTACGATTGAGACCTGTTAGGATAAGGACATTATACTGGGGGGGGGGGAGCCTATTGGGACAAGTTCATATTAGAAACGGGGCCTAATAAGTCAACAGCCTAGTAAAAGTAAAGCCCACCTGACCTTCACCCCAATTAGACGCCCATGACTCATAACCCGTATATCCTGATGTTACCTCCACCCACGCCCACGGTCACCTCCACCCACGCCCACGGTCACCTGCACACACAGTCACCTCCACACACAGTCGCCTCCACCCACGCCCACGGTAACCTCCACCCCACACCCACACACCCACACGTCCACCCACACCCACCGTCACCTCCACCCACACCCACGGTCATCTCCACCCACACCCACAGTCACCTCCACCCACCCCACTCCCACACCCACCGTCACCTCCACCCACACCCACGGTCGCCTCCACCCACGCCCACGGTAACCTCCACCCCACCCACCGTCACCTCCACCCACACCCACGGTCACCTCCACCCCACACCCACGGTCACCCACCCACACCCACGGTCACCTCCCTCACTCAATACCCACAGCCTCAGAAACTCGTTAAGAGATGGCTTATCACATCGTATAATATGAAGAATAGACACCCCAGCCCACAGCTCTATTTCTCACCTAATTAATTGTTTAAACACCCTAACGTAACTGGGGGTGGGGGTTAAGGGTTTGGTTGAGTTAGGGGAAATTTAATTCATAATCTTTAGAGAATCCCATTTCGCC